CAGTTGGCATTCTTTGTTGCTATTTTCAATACTTTTTTTGTCGTTCTGGCAAGAGTGACAGATTTAGGCAGTACCACACAACGGCTGTTAAATTTTACTGCAAACTACACAAGTAAAGACCACTATACAGTAATATAAGTGTTTATGAAATCGTACGATAAAACGATTATAATCAGTTTTTCAATTCAATTCAATATAACATTTATTCATATCCAACCAAGAACAAAATATGTACATGAAAGGAAAAATAAATGTAGATTTGGTATCAATCGTTCTCTTGAAGTGTTTAACGAGTTCAATTCTGATTCCCTACTTGGTTGTGCTACCACGTAGTATTCCTCGCTTACTTGTTTAAATTCGACATATGAACGTTTCATCATTTCGACATTATATTTAGCCTTCCACCCAACCATGACTACTAAAATGTCCTGCAGTTTTTGGTGGTAACTGGCGAAGGTATATAAAGCTGAATCCTGCAACTGACTGAGTTTTTATTCCGTAGTTATGAAGCAAATTGAAGCCGTGGAAATTGTCCAGATGTTTGACCAAAAATCCCTTCCCAACAGTTCTTCTATCATTATGGTTGGCACACAAACTCAAGCATTTTTCGTACGTTTTTTTTGCAGAACGTTTCAGTAGCAAACCGCAGGGAGGCAATGGAAGAATCAACAGTTTTCATTTCAATTTGCGTCCTCACTCAACTTGTACCAAATTCAGTCGTGCGGGTACATACGTGTGAGTATTTTGGAACTAATTGCCTGAAGGTAGAGAGTAGGTCATTTGCAGCTATCCGAAAAGAAACAGACCAAATTTTGTTGAAAAGCTTACTTTGTTTTAGAGATAGCAATGGCACCAAACTCCCTGTGAGTGGAATGCTGTCATTTTGAAGATAACAATGAAATAAGGCAATTTGCAAAGATGCGCCAAGTGACACATTTTTGGAAATGTCCGTTAGTAGGCTAGTTGGTTTGTAATTGGGCGAATCCGTGAATGGATAAGTGATGCGCGCAAGCGTTGACACGACGCACACGCGCGCGCGGTTGCTGTTACTCGTAGGTTCAGTGCGTGACATCACATAGCTACAATCGGCTGAATGAGAACGTGTCCCGAATGCAGATTTTGGGCGCAATTTAAAACATGACTTTGCAACTTTCGAATTGAAATCGAGATCCTAGAATATTGTTTTCTCGGAATATACAGCATTCACAGACCTAAAACTTCATCAGGTTAGTTGTTAAGCACCCATCTTTAGATTTTGAGAACTTTTGTTGCTTCAAACGAAGAAATGGGCACAAATGACAAAATAATGATCTACTCTACCTTCAAGATCTAAGTTGTATCCTATTTGTTTCCGTCTGTCAGCTGTTTATGAATTGATTTTAACATTAACAATTGAAAGAAAAATAGAAACACTTAATGAGAAGCTATTATTATTGAGGGTGGTTGGGGGTCTGTGGGTTTTATTGCTTTAAAATGATTGTATCGCAGATAAGCCAATACGTCATGTTTGTGTAGTATTCAGCTATGTTTACTGTCCGATTTCTGGCAAAGATAAGCTGATGTGAATAGCTGAAATCATCTGTCAAAAAGATAAATGCAGTTTCGTTTTGATACCTAATCATGGTGTATGCGCCGAGAACGATCCGGACGTAGTATTTTCTTTGCTGTAAATGTCGCGTGTGTGATCTCGATAAACAATAATGCGCAGGCGCGGATCCGGGGGGGAGGGGTTCAAGTGGTTAGGGGGTAAAACACCCCCCCCCCCAGCTTTGACTCAATTTGTTTCATAGATATACATAAAAATAATCATGTGAACCCCCCCCCCCCCCCACACCCTAAAATGATTATACTGGTAATAATGTCCGCCTGTGCCCAAAATTCGGAAAGAGCCAGCTGTGTTTAATACGGGGGTATTTGTACTCTATTCTATGATATAGTTTTAATGATGGTCGGATTTGAACAGCGCCCCCATTGAAAGTATAGTACGAGGCCCCCATCTGATTGATTGCAGTAACACTAGTTAAAGACCCCGGTGAGATGCAGTAGTTCAGCACTCAACGTTGGGAGCACTATTTCCATGACGCTCTTCTGGAGCTAGTTCGACACCTAGAAATCACTTCACGCTATGGGGATTTGGCTGAACCGATGCTTCGCCTTGTCTACTCTAAGTGCGAATGCGAACCTACGTTGTTCAATCTTCTTGACTTCTTTGATTCTGCTTGCTTGAGTTCTGTCTCTCATGTTTATACATTTTGCTTGCTTAATTGATATGCTTTCTGAAGCTGTCATTATTGGTGCTGTTTCTTTTGTTGAAGCCAATTAATGGCACACAGATGAACTCGTTACCATACTTTGGTGATTCTAATTTAGAAGTAAACATTTAAATGCTAAAATGTACTAAACCTCGTTGTTGATCAATTTTAATCAAATCTCGTTGTCGTCGGTATATTTGTATTTAAAATTGCAGCTGTGGTGCTGGGCGTTTGCAGATAACGGGAGCGCGATCCTCACATTTTACATCATTCCAAATGCCACTATCTGTCACCACCGCACAGTCTTCTCTGTGGCCGTTGTTAGGTTCACCCCGCCCCCAGTCGGTGTACACCACATCGGTAGTACCATCCCGACACTCCCACGAACCTATTATGCACAACACGGAGAATAATCCAATCAATATCGCTTATTGAAGAAAGGTGAAGATTTTTTTATTCGAATGATTGTTCGAATTTCAGATTTGTTTTTCGTGAAATTACAGAAAACTACTCACAAAAAATGAGCACTGCGAAAATTACTGTTGGAGCCTTCAAAATACTCTGAACATCTTTAAAACAATGTCTTTTTCCATAAACTTTTGAAGTAAATCAGTCAGGATTAATAAACGTCTCAGTTACGAAAACAGTTTTTTAAATAGATATTTTATTTTCATCTTAGTTTTTGCTGTAACATTTTCAACGAATTCATTTAAATATGTGATTAATTTCTAAACATGATCATTTTCGTTTTCTTGGAGCCAGCAATAAAGTGATGATGAGTAAACAAGGCATATACAGTGGCGCACCCAGGATTTGGTTTTGGGTTTTTTTTTAGGGCAGTGAGCATGTTTTCCGGAACGAAGTCGGTTGTTTCTCTATGTGTTATTTTGTTATTTTCAAATTGGCAGTAGCTTTCAGAGTTTTGAATTAGTTCAAGAATGTGTTTTTATAATTTTGTCAGCGATTTTGGGGACAAATTGGCACTAGCTGGCGGAGTTATGATTCGGAAAACGGGCAGATTTCTAGATTTCTAGTTGGCAAAAGTGTGCGGGTAAGATGCCCAAACAAAAAAGTAAAACAGACGAACTTCAAATTCATTAAAACGGGTATTTCTTCCTATGCAAAAGGAATGTGTTGCTTTTATTCCAGGAACATTGACTTTCATTCGGATTGTATTTGTCGCGTGTAAAAGACTTTATTGTTTCGGTCAAATTTTTTTTATATTAGTTGATGATTTCTCATGAAATTAAATTTCAAAATATAAAATATCATGAGAAATCACCTGGTATTTCTCGGGTTATTGCTAGAAATTTTTTTCCCAAGTGTTTTAATGCCCGAGTGTTTTATTTTTCAATGAACGTTGACTTTCATTCGGATTGTATTTTTCGGCGTAAACATCGTATCTCCCAAAGTTACAGCAGATTGACAATCTATAAATGGATAAATAGCTCAAATTCCCCCAAACTATCAATGTGTATTCCAAGTAGGTCATGTTGCATTGCATTTCAATGAAGGATCCTAAAACAGTTGCCGAACTAAAGTTTTTCCATGCAGTACTCACTAGACGCCCCAGCACCGCAAGCAACGTTAGACTTTCTATTTTCACTTTTCCATCCGTGGCGTTTTCTGAGCTGAATTTGCATCTATTTGGAGGAATTATTACATTATAACGCTATCCGTGAATTGTCATTCGCATGCACGGGACCTGTCTTTTCCCATAAAAAAAAAAGAGGAACTGGAGTCCGATACGAACATGAAAAAAGGCTGCTCCATGCAGACATTTCTCGGCGGTTGTGCACTGTACCCCGACTCGTTTACGTGAAAAAAAAACGATACGGGCCTTCGGGACGCCCGTCTGTTACAACTGATAATGTAATAACCAACGGATAACGTATCAACAGCCGATAATGTCACACGTTATACATGTATGATGAGGAATTTTGTCACCAATAAAACCGAAGGTTTGTGCTAATGATTACCAAAAAGACAAAGAAGGCCATAGACAGGAATCCAATTAGTTAATGATTGGTGGGATAATAAAGTAGCAATTACGAGCAAAGTATGCAGTTACACAAAGGTTCCACTCTTTGTCAAGTAATTTGGTATGTCCTTGGCGAGGCGTTTAATATTTTTACAATACAATGGTGGCTAATTCCTTTCGATGGGAAACTGTTTAACCTTGCATTAGTGTAGACTTGATGACAAGTCGTTTGATAGTGGTATTTTGTCCGTGAACTTCAGTCGAACGTAATCGGCTGGGTTGCGACAAATATAACGACTTGACGATTGCGTTCTCGCAATGTTGTGCAAGCAGCGTAATGCGTATGCAGTGCGTTTTTGCGGTGAGATCCAATCAGGCTTGCAGACGGCTTTAATTCCAAATTTTGTTTGTATTTTGTTCGACGGTTTCTCGTGAATACTTCAGTGTAAATGATGTGCTGGTGTTGCTAATCGGTATGCGCTGCCACTCAGTACGGTGTTAAACAATGAAGACGTATTAAAGGGCCACTAAGTCCTGAAATCCCCGAACATTTCTTGTTATGAATTGTTTACTTATCCTATTTCATTGCAAACATCTGGTTGAAAGGAAACCAACCTAAAATGTTCTATCCAGCAAAATGTATTATTGAATTCAGTCGTCGTTTGTATTTGGTGTGGCTATGGCAACGATGATTACTGTAGCCATGGTAACGAACTGAAACACTACTGACGAGTGCGACACGTTGCTCATATTGCTGTTCCATAGCGCGGAGTTGTCATTTCGAGCCAGCCAGTGATTCTCGCCGTTTCACAGCCAAGTCCGGTCGCAGAAATATTGACACTTTGTAAACTTGAGTGACTGAAAAGCGAACGTTTCGAATTGTCCGCTCATCATGGCGTTTATGTCCGAGTTCTTTGCCATTGTGGTTGCCGTTTTATCGATGAGGGCCCTCTCTGATTCAGATTTCTGCCCCTCTCGGTCCCCTGTCAAATGCTCTTGTCCGCCAGAGTGGCAACTGTGGGGGAGCGCGTGCTATCGCCTCACTTCCTCAAAGTATAATTGGGATGACGCCAAGACAGCTTGCCAAGACGTGGGAGGCAAGATGGCCGCTCCTCGCTCGCTCGAGGAACTGAACTTCATGGCAGAACTGGCACGAAAGGTGGACAGTCAATACAGGGCCTGGATTGCTTGCAATGACAGAGATGTTGAAGGAACTTGGGAGTGTGACGGTCAGGAAGGAGGCGAGCCCTTCTTGGTATGGGATGATGGGCAACCAGATAGTTGGCAAGGCGAACAACAAGATTGTGCTCAAATAACCGCATGGCACAATCACAAGATGGATGATGATCGCTGTGATAACTATAAATGGGCATTTTGTGTTCGTCAGGCAGCTTGCACTCATCTCCCAACCCAACCCCGTCAATACTGCCTCTCTACCGACACCCACGGCCGCATTTTCAACTCAACCTGCCTCCTCGACCACAACTTTCGGGAGTTTATCACCGAGGGCGTGGTCGCCTGTGGCTCAGCCTGCGCCAAGGAGCCCGGATGCCGCTCCTTCAACATCAAGAAAACCGAAGGAGGGAAGAAGATATGCCAGCTGAACAACAGCACAAGCTCCGAAGATAAGGATAAGTTTCAGAAGACTGATTATTTCTGCATGTACTCAGAGGTGTGCCTTGGCTAGTCATGACAATAATGGAACAATTTCAAAGATGCACTCTGCGAACTTGTGAATTCAGATTCCGATGATAAAATTCGCGAGACACTTGTTCTTGTCTTTACATCACGTAGCAACTATTTCATTTGTTTTTGTTCGTTCGTTCTGAAACGAAAACACAGCTTCGGAGATACTTTGAAGTAAAGAATATACATGTAAATACTTTGCTCTTTTTGCGAACATGAAAAATGATTGGATTGAAAGCATTTTGAACTGATGAAAATCGTTGGATTTCTTTCCATAGATTGCATAACAGATTTAAAGCGCTAATGCATTGTACATTCGCAAGTAGTTCTTGTTTTTGCAATGTTTGCATTTGTCAAAACCGACAACAAAATATTGTAGATCAATTTTATCGTTTATTTCATGTTTCTTAAATTATTACCATCGCCATTTTCTTTATTTACACTAAAAAAAAGGAATTTTTAAATCACTCATGCACGTGTATCATAAACAGCAACATTCTTTTCAGTAATGGTTTTGAAGACTGATTTTTATCGATTTTGAAGGCAGCTACAATTTCTTAAGTTGTTCGACAGTCATGTACAAATCAATTTTTTTGAAAATTTCAAATCGTTGGCACGATAACATGAACATTATATTTTACATACAGCGGTGAATCTGCATCCTGTTGCTTTGTAAGAACCTATTTTCGAATAAATGTAATATTGGTGTTGTAGGTAAAGGACATCATAGCTGTCATAACTTGTTATTGTTTGTGATGAACTTATTGGAACTTTATAGTAAGTTTTAAAATGGACGTGGTCAGGTGACCTGTCTGGAGAATGCGATACCCGAGTACAGAGCATAATGTTCGGGTTTTTGCCGAAGTTTGTAGCAGGATTTCAACTCTTTCTTTTCTCATAATTTAAAGCCCCTGGGGGAGTTTATTACCGGTTGAATGCCCTCAACCAGCAGGAAGCAATTAGCATCACTTGACTGAATGACTTAACTTTTGCCTTAATCCTCGGAGCAGCTTATTAAAAAAACTTACACGGTAGAACAATGTGGAGAGTTTTATCACCACATGTGTTTATAGGTCAATAACCCTTGGCAAAAGGACCTAGCCGCCTATTTCCAATAAATATATTATTGAGTGTCACATTTGCTTATGTCCAGAAATGAAACTTTTTCCCCTTCATTTTTTGATCATTGAAATTGTCCCACATAAACTGGAAATCATGAATTATTGGGCTGTACATGTATATAATGTGGCTGTATACGTGTGTGTCTAGAGACGATGGCCTCGAGCGGCCACCTGTGGTTCAGCAAACTGCTGTATGGGATTAACCTTCTGTTACAGTGGGCCGAGTAAAACATAAACAACGAAGTCCTGGTAACTGGTATTGAAAAGACATTGGCTTTTACACGGCAAAATTACCTCATACATCGTGCACGAATGATGAACTTCGACGACAGATGGAAAATTTTGAAACCAAGAAAATATTCGCCAATAAATTAAGTTTAAGGGTCAGTTTTATTATAACTGACTACTAATTGCACCTAACAATGTAAAACCATGCAGTATGGACACTTACAGTGTTGACAAGGGCGGAGCTAGAACCACTGGGTGCCCCTTTGACTCTAGGGGGCGCTATTGACCCCTTTTCTTATCTCTCATATTGTTATATTTCACAAATCCGTAGGGGTTGCAGCGATTTCAAAACAGTAGTCCACTCGTCCTTTGGTTTAATTACTGACAAAAAAATGGGGGGGGGGCATTGCTCCCATTGTTGGTCGAATACAAGTCTGGCTAGTCAGTTTCAAAATTATGACCCTCGCAGAGTGTGGACTTCTCTTTTTTTATGTTCATTTGTTATTTTATTATTATTCATTAAGTGTTATTCTATGCATATTTTTAACTGCGACATTTATTATTTACTGCTTATCGCATCCGGCGCTTGACAAAGTAGACAATAGCGGTAAAATGAATTGAAGATATTACAATGGAAATATAATGGCCTGCACCTGTTGTCTGTTTAAAGATTTTGAAAAGGCTACATGAAATTTAAAAAATGCGTTAGCTTGAAAAATCCCACTTCTTCTCTCTTTTTTTAAAATATTTGTTTACCCCTCAGCCGAGAGGGTCGAGGGGTAATGTCATCGCCTACGGCGTCCGTTCGTCCGTATATGCCGTCAGGGCGGACGTCCGGGCAGCTCAGTTTCCGGATGACATCTTGAGTTAGCAATGTCGTATGGATTTGAAACTTCGGTAGGGGGTTGCCCTTGGGAGAAGGCAAGTTGGGATTGGTTTTGAAGTCAAAAGGTTGAAGGTCAAGGTCACCGTGGCGAGTTAAAGGTTAATGGTTTCCAGGTGATAACTTGAGTTAGAAATAAGATTTTGGTGTCACATTTCGGTAGGGGGTTGCCCTTGGGTACAGGCAAGTTGGAATTGGTTTTGGGGTCCAAGGTCAAGGTCACCGTGGTGAGTTAAAGGTTAATGGATTTGGCATGATAACTTAATGGAGTTTTTGCACCCGAGGCCTTGGTTATTGAAATATCAGCAACCGCCTTATTATTGGATCAGGCGCGGATCAAGACGTGGGGGGGGGGGGGTCAACCCCCCCAGCTCTGTCAAAAAAACAAAATTATCATACAAATGCCAAAAAAATAAGTCGAACCCCCCCCCCCCCCCCCCCCGCGTGACACCCCCCAAAAAATTATACTGGTATAATGTCCGCCTGTTCAAAATACGGTACACCATTCTGTCATCTAGGTAGCATAAAATGGGACGACAGTAGAGCGCGTAATGAATATGCATGACTATGACGTCACTAGAAGCTCATGAGTAATATATCACGCACGGTACTGATAGATATACATGTAGACTGCACACTGTATGTGCTGCATCCCAATACCGATGATATCACATTTAACAAGTCCTCTTTCTACTGTCGCGCCGCCACCCTCTAGTGTCGTCCCACTTACCGATGATATCACATTTAACAAGTCCTCTTTCTACTGTCGCGCCGCCACCCTCTAGTGTCGCCCCACTTGATGATCATCGGTAAGTGGGGCAACAGTAGAGGGTGGCGGCGCGACAGTAGAAAGAGGACTTGTTAAATGTGATATCATCGGTATTGGGATGCAGCACATACAGTGTGCATCTACATGTACATGTATGTCTATCAGTACCGTGCGTGATATATTACTCATGAGCTTCTAGTGACGTCATAGTCATGCATATTCATTACGCGCTCTACTGTCGTCCCATTTTATGCTACCTGTAATCTAGTGTTAATAATCGTTGAATTTGAACAGCGCCCCCTATTGAAATATGGTACCAGCAAAATGTTCAATATTCTGGCAATTTTTGGTGCTGAAATAGCTGTAACATTGAGGTTTCTGCCTGAAATGACATCACACTTTTGCTCATGAATATGCAAATTGGCATGAAAATGAAAAAGCACCAAAATACCCTTGAAAATGGCAAAATAAAAATTGAAATAAGGTTGAATAGGACACAAAGGTTTATTTTCAAGGATTGCATTAAACAAATTACATTGCATGGCCCTATAAAGTTGTACTGTTCATGGTTGTTTTTTTTAGTAAAAATTCCAACTTCTCAACTAACTTGTAATTGTAGAGCACAGGGTGAAACTTAGAACAATACATTGCTTCAACATTAATTTACCATCGTCATCGTTTCGATATTCACAATACATCTTGAATATGGATAACAAACAATCCAGGCAGTTTATGCACAAGCCTGTGGGTGTGGTCAACCAGTCAACTTTAAATCATCTGTTTTCTTCGGTATTTATCCGAATTATCTGACCATCGATTCGCATATGAATGTTCGTAATAATAAGATTATTTTTGTAAATAAACTTAAGTTTTAAAACTTTAGAAAAAAAAGAAGAAGTAATGTTGGAATTTCTTTCAGGGTAGGCTACCAGTCAGCAGTCACAGAGGAACGATTGTGATTGGTCAGTGTTTGGAGGCGTTGGCTTGAAATCTCGATTCTGATTGGCCAATATTGGCAAGGTCATGATATTCCCAGAGGGATTCCCAGAAATGTTCTTCATTCTGATAAGCTTTGAAACATGATTTTTTTTTTAATAAATTAGATTTCAAATTACCAATGCAATGTGTGAAAAGATTATCAAATTTGTATGGTTTATTTGTCATTCAAACCCGAGTGCAAGGCGAATATTAAAAGATTAATTCCGTTTAACAAACACTCCTATCGTATGGCTGATGAGAATTCAACAGTTGCTTGATAGATAACGATAACAATTAACGCTTGTTAATGCTTAAAACCCTGACTTGGGGAGATATTAAACAAGAAGCATCGGTGGTTCAGTGGTAGAATTCTCGCCTGCCACGCGGGAGACCCGGGTTCAATTCCCGGCCGATGCAAATATTTTTTTTCCCTTTTCATTAAAGCTATTTTATTACCACCCCTTTCTTAATAATTTAACTTGAATTTTACAACATCGGAGTTGCGATGTCTGATAACAGGAGTTGGCTGGACGTAACTTTGAACATTTCCTTGCTGATCGCCTCGTGATTTATTCAAAACAAGTGGACATGACAATAATTTTCACGATTGTAGCATTATTTGGGCAATTTCCCATACCTCGGCTTCGTTCTGGGTTAACTACTTAACACGCTGCATTGCTTTGGTTATATTAATTTTATTGTTTGACCATTCATCTTCAATTTAAAGCACTTTGTGTTGTTTTTGTTCCATGAAAGTTGACTCAAATTCGCCTTGTGTTCGCGCCTAACATGCTACATTCTTTTGGTTATAATATTTTTATTGATTAATGATTCCCCCCCCCCAAATTCAAGAGATTTGTGTTACCTTTAACGACCAATCACTAGATGTAATTTCACCTCAATACAACAAATATTCCTGGATTTATCGTTTCCACAACGAGTGTGTTGTTTTTGATCCATGAAAGTTGACTCCAATTCGCCTTGTATTTTTCGTGCTTAACACGCTACATTGTTTTGGGCATGACATTTTTATTTATGAATCATTTCTCTTCAAATTCTACAGA